ATGTAGCTGTCCAGTTTTGCCAACACCAACTGTTGAAGAGGCTGTCATTTCCCCATTGTATGTCCATGGCTCCTTTATCATATATTAATTGACCATATATGTTTGGATTAATGTCTGGAGTCTCTAATCTGTTCCACTGGTCTGTGGCTCTGTTCTTGTGCCAGTACCAAATTGTCTTGATTACTATGGCTTTGTAGTAGAGCTTGAAGTTGGGAAGCGAGATCCGCCCTCCCCCCACTTTATTCTTCCTTCTCAGGATTGCTTTGGCTATTCAGGGTCTTTGGTAGTTCCATATGAATTTTTGAACTATTTGTTCCAGTTTGTTGAAGAATGCTGTTGGTAATTTGAAAGGGATTGCATTAAATGTAGATTGCTTTGGGCAGGATGGCCATTTTGACAATATTAATTCTTCCTAGCCAAGAGCATGGGATGAGTTTCCATTTGTTAGTGTCCTCTTTATAATTTCTCTTAAGAGTGTCTTATAGTTTTCCGGGTATAGGTCTTTCACTTCCTTGGTTAGGTTTATTCCTAGGTATTTTATTCTTTTTGATGCAATTGTGAATGGTATTGTTTTCCCTTAACACTTAAGAAAGATTATATCTAACACCTGTAAGAGGGACTCAATGAAAACATTAATTTGTAAGAATAAAGGAAATGCTTATGATATAATCTGACATAATAAACTTGTGTCTTGATAAAATTACCTAATTTTTATATGAACTTTATTTCCTAAGATAGAACTTTATCAGTTTTCTTTGAAATATAATTGACATATAATGTATGAATTTTTTCTTTTTAAAGCAGCTGTGTGAAATCAACAATAAATTGATATTTAAAGTGTAGAATTAAAAAATTTTTACATATATATACATTTGCAAAATTATCATCACAGTGAAGATAAAAAAGATATCCATCACTCCAAAATTTTTTTCATACTCCTTTGTAATTGCCCCTTTCAGGGCCTCTCCACCCTCTCCTTTATGCCCAAGCAACTTCTGTCACTGTAGGTTACTTTGTATTTTCTAGAAATGGAATGGTACATCACATACTTTTAAAAAATCTGTCTCATTTCACTTACCGTATTTATTTTGAGATTCATCCATGTTGCATATATTAATAATGTATTACATTTCATTGCTGACTGGTATTATATTCTCAGAATATAGCACAACTTGTTTGTACATTCGTATGTGATGGACATTTGGGTTCTTTCCACTTTTTGGTTATTACAAATAAAGCCGCTATGAACCTTCATGCACAGATCTTTGTATTGTCGACATACGTTTTCATTTCTCTTGGGTAAACACTAGGAGTGGGAAGCCTGTGTCATATGGATGTTAAACTTTTTTTAAGACCAGTAAACTATTTTTCAAAGTGATTGTACCATTTTACATTCCTATCAGAGTGTATTAGAGTTCCATCTTTTCCACGACCTGAAAAATGGTCAGTCTTTTAAATTGTAGCCAGTCTAATAGTTGTATGGTAGTGCTCCCCCCGGCGGTGAGCTGGGCAACTGTAGCCCATTTGTAACTTGCCTCTCAGGGATCACATGTTTTCGTTACCCAGTGTTTTCTGTCTTGAAACCATTGTTTCAAAGATTTTGTCCAGGTTTTTGGTTATTTCATGTAGAAGGGAAATCCCGTCCCTGTTATTCCATTTTGGCTGGAAGAGATTTATAGTTCATTTTCTAGAAAAAAGAGATCAATTCTTTTTACATATTCCTTGAAAAGATGTGAGAACTTGCATTTACTAATAGTCTGTGATTTAGGTACATAGTAGATAATATGCTCATATATGCTATTTCAGTTAATTATGAAAGTGTAGATTATTTATTTTCTTACATTAATATTTAACTTTTCTATATTTTTAAAGAAATTTTGTGTACTTTAATAGAATTCTTCAAGATTATGTAGACGGTCTACTTCAGATGCTAATTTACTCATTCTCATCTCATCATGTCATGCTCTTGTAACGTTGGCGTGCCTGTCTTTATATATTGCGCCCTTGCTACAATTCAGTATTTCATCTTGAAAGTTTTTTCTTTTACAAATAATACATGGGTTTCTCATTTCAGGTGCCATTGACATTCAGTGATATTGCCATAGATTTCTCTCAGGAGGAGTGGGAATGCCTAAATTCAGACCAGAGGGATTTGTACAGAGATGTGATGTTGGAGAATTATATTAACTTGGTCTCACTAGGTAAGGACATCTGCCTGAAATAATGGAGAATTTGCGGTGTGAAATACCCACTTTCTCCACTGTGTATTTGATGCTGTATGCCCAAAAAAACTGCCCCATAAATTTCTGCTCCATATTCTCAAAGGACTAGTTTGCCCTTTTTACATGGAAATGGGCTCCTGCATTCAGCACCTGAATCTTCCATTTACCTTCCTGCCTCCCTTTGCCTCATCCTTCAATTGCTTCTTTTCTAAATGACTAAAGGTTTGAATTCTGGGACTTCCTCTGTATAACCACTAGTAAACAAAACAGATTTCATATTATGTATATATTAGAAT